TGGATACATTAAAAAGTCTCAACTCCTTTTTTAAAGAAATGGACATGAATGCACACACACACACACACACACACACACACACACACACACACACACACACACACACACACACACACACACACACACACACACACACACACAGTAAGACACAATGTTGCACAATTATTCTGTCATGTAACAAAAACACTGCAAACACTCGCCGCAGATGATCCAACACCAAGTTGTGTTCGAGGGAGGTCGTTCCAAGTGTTCCTGCACGAAAACACAGGTACAAGCCAGACCTCATGTCCCACATGAAGGAAGAATGTGTGTGTCGGAGTGTGTGAGGCCTGCAACCCCACACCAGCAGGCCAGTTTTTCCTGCCTGCTAGGGAGATAAATGAGGGTCCGCTACGCTCCCTGTGGGCCAGACCACCATTAGAAGCCACTGATGATATAATAAAAGCTTTGGAAACACTTTCAGACACATTTATTACGACAAAATCCTCCCCTTGGCCAGGATCAGACAGAGGTATGCTCGTGGAGGGCACGGGATGATTCCTCGAATGAGGAGATTAATTTACTGTGACTCAAAGATTCATTCATCACGGCCACTCTGAGCCCGCAAATATTGATAGTGATTGACCTGTAGCACAGGTGGTGTTTGTCTGTGTCAAGGACAAGAGTTTATGTCCACAAACTTATCTAAAACAAGAGAAAAGATGAAAAGCCACTAGACAGGGTTTAGCGTCGAAAACATCAGCGTGTCCAACATTCACACTTCAAACTTTGAGAAATCACGCAGATGAAGATTTCTCTTTTCCCCTCCTCTCCTCCCAAGTTGAACTGACACGAAAGTATTAGGTTTTTATTAAATGCACGTTTAAAGCTAAGCCCAGTTACCTCACTAAAATACAACCTGCCAACCCCTCGTCTTTGTAAGACTCTTAATTCATATTAAATTACTTTCTGCATAAATCACCCTCACTTCCAAACAGCCAACAAAGCTCATACTTGTTTTTGCTGTCAGCACTTTCTTTAGAAATAATCTTTAAGGATTTTTCCATCCATTCCCTGGCTCTACTAGGTACATAATGCTCAGTGTCATTGCCACTTCATTTCAACTTGGCTGTCTGCACACAGTGTTGATAGAAATTAGATCAATAGCCTGTTGACACAAAGCAGACTGTAAACCGTAGGAGAGCAGCATAGCTCAAACTAATGGAGTCATTACCCACCATATAATATTCAATTTGACATCAGAATATGGCTTCTGTGAGGCAAATAACTGTTCTTTCAACCAAACAGATATATGTTTAATCAATTTACAATTGAAAAAAAAATACTGTACATGGACTTCTCCTAAAATAAGACTAAGTGTGTACAGCCATCTGTGCGGCTGTACTGCGGATCAGCTCTGACGTCATAGCATACGCATGTACACGTCAATTATTCCACCAGCCACCAAACCAAAGGAATTATTTTCTCCAATTTAGAGACCCCCAACCACATGGAGACTCCAACTCTACCGGCCCCTGTGGGATGTATGCAAGATGAGGACATATTACACTTGAGTAGGCTGGTTTTAAATAAATGAACTATTTTTTAATGGAAAAGTTCTTCATTTATGGTAACCCTCGTTAGGAGAAAAAGCTTAAAATGTGTTCATGTTCTTAGAGAATGTTATTAATACTTTTCCCATTAACAAACTCAAAAACATGTTGATGTTAAGCATATAAAATATATTTGAGTATGGTTATACAATATAACCATCTTCAATATCTTATTTAGGCATGTTAGCATACTAAAATGTGCTGATTAGCAGCAAACACAGGAACAGGAAGGAACAGGACACTTTTGACAAGAAAACAAGAAGGTATGTATCTAATACCATGACAATCATATAAGGTCAAGACATTTAACAAAAAACTCACAACCTCATGGTGTCGGAGGAGTAATTGAAGGACCACCAAAGTCATTAGGAATCATCCTCTGAAGGACCATGAATGTCCGTACAAGATTTCATGGCATTTCAACTGAATGCTGAAGAGTGCCATCATGCTATTCTGAGCTGGCAATGCAGACAAATTAGATGTACCTTAGAGACTGCTTTCAAAGCCTGAAGCCAATTCCAGCTTCATAAAATAGAAATCAAAGGATAAATGAATGCAGCGTAACTCATCAAAGCCAATAAGCTGTTACCATACCAGCCAGAATTTCAATATAAATCCTCTTATCTGACCTTCTTGAGGAAAAGCAGGTGTTACCTTTCCAGTTCAAGGTTATAAAGAGAAACCAATAACGCTACGGGGCACAGAAAACCACCACCACACCGCAAGTAGTATCAACAACAGATGTATTCAACCTTACAGATTGTATGGAACCTGTTGCCTTCACAGACACGTAAAAACATGCATGCTCTAACAACCTATCCCTCAAAGGAGAAAGGGCCACTGTTATCTAGCTGTTCTACATTCGGATAATTGGGCTTTAAATCACACATGAGACGCCTGGGATTGGTGTCTGATGTCAAAAGCTGCAGATTTATGTCCTTCCTCCCCCCTGCATGTCTGAGTGCCTACATCAGTTCTTTAGATGTCACTTTATTACCAGCACTGTCTTATACTTTATGTGGACAGGGCGATGGAGGAGGAAAGAGAAAAAATGGGGGAAAATGTTACTAGGGTGAGGAAGAAACTGGATGCACTTCAGGATCCTTAAGATTTAGAATGTTAACACCGGCAACCATTACTGTTAATAATTTCATACTTATAAATATAGCTTTTACTTTAGCTGCGTTGACTTCTTAAATATGTGATATTAATAGATTCCCAAAATGGGCACTGACGAGGCTGATAATCTTGTGTGTCTCCACTCCCCTAGCACTGCGCCTCGCTTCCCCTCCAAAGATTAAACAGACTCTCAAAATGTCTACAAATGCGTACAAGGAAAGATCAATACCTCAACAAAAATAACCTAAATCAACCAAGGTCAATACCTCAACCCAATTAAAGCTACACCGTCCTGGCCTCCAAATCTGTGACCCCCTCCTCGGGTACATTTAATGATATCACTGCCTTAAAAACTGTGATTCAGAGGGCAAAGAAATTCTGGATCGCATTTTAGACCCACAGGTGGAAGTAATGTGTGACAAGCAATAGTTGGACATTTCCATACTTATGACCACAGAGGACCGTTTGTAGGAGCAGAAGTCAATTACATTTCTTGGCATGGGTCTTGAGGAGAATCAAATTGAAAGGACAACTGCCCTTTAAAATCCCCCATGCTCACAACTGTTCTGCATTATATCTGATAAACAAGACTCCCGCCTGAGAAAGAAGACACAGGAACATTATGTAAACACGACTTTATCTCAGAGTCCTCCTTCACAGCCTTCCCGCTGGCACTGAGGATTATGTGCAAAGATACAAAACTTCTGGGGGACTTTTTCTGTGGGAATATTTGTGTAAATGACATTAATGTTGGATGGACAAAAGGCAGTGTATTACGCTGAGAACGATCAAGAGTTCTCTCATGGATGTCTTTACAGAACACATCCACACACACTGTTGTGTGTTGCATGAGTGTGAATGTGGTTATTTCGCATGACGTGCAAGAAAAAGTCATCAAATTGATGTTTAGAGAAGAAACAGACTTGCTGGTGGTTACAGCTGCAGCAACCATCAAGAAGTTAATTGAACCACCATGTGAAATATAAATCCACTGTTAACTGACAAGACAACTGAAAATCCAATTAAATATATGAATATATTTGTAAAATAAATGTGCTTGGTGCTGGCTAAACTTCAGCAGACAGAAAATGTGAACTGCCAATCGCATTTCTATCTCTGTTACACATTTACAATTTCTGTAAGACTCCTACACAGCTTGTATCCTAATTATCAAGTCATGTCTGAACTACATAATATAGTGAGGGGGTATTTAGCCACAACTGTGATTTGGCCTCAGTAATCATTCCAGAATACAAATATTTGCAGTTTTAATATGAAGTTACATATGCATAAAAAACTTGAATGAATCAAAAGCTATTATTTTCACACAAATAATAGCTTTTGCAACATGTCGTCAAAATGGAAACATATTTCGTGTTTGTGTATGATGAACAAAGCAGCAGTAACAAATGAGAAGTCTGCACAGGGTCAAGAGGAAATCCTATTTTGGGAAATGCAGATATGAACCAAAAACAACTGATAAGTCTAAAGAATGTTTTTTGTAAATATTGAAGCTGATAAAAGTCTGTATGCAGGGTACAGATTTCAGACACTCACAATAATATAATGTCAAAAAGACTTATTATGGTAGTCCATTTTTAGGTTTCTATTGAACTGATATAAAAAATGGTCATATATTCCAGATGGATGTCAAAGCTACTAAAAAATGAATTTGAACTTTGATTTTAATACTAACCATGCTCATAAATTAATCTACATGTTGTCATTGACTAAAGAAATCCCAAGTTGACTAACAAGCACATTTTTTGTTGATTATTCTGTAAATTGATTTATTCAACAGATCTGAGTTTCAACAAAAAGAATAATGTAAAAACACAGCTTTAAAATCAAGTTTTTACCAGAGATGTCTTCATAAGTCTCTTGGAAATAAGTATATAGTAAGAAAAAGCATTTAAAAATGAAAACCAGTTAGTCGACTAATCATCTAAGCTGGGTCATAAATTATTTGTATATTTGTTTGTTTGTGTGTGTGTGTGTGTGTGTGTGTGTGTGTGTGTGTGTGTGTGTGTGTGTGTGTGTGTGTGTGTGTGACATGAAAGGAGACACTGAGAAGGAGAAAAAGACAAAGGTCTGAGTGAGAGTAAATGAGATAGCTCTTAATTACCGCCTGCGTTTCTGTATGATGTCAATAGGCCTGTTGACAGCGCACGGCGATCCCCATATGTTCCCACTCCGCACAGTGATACTCCGCTCCACGGAGTAACAGAACCCGCAGTTGGTCGGCACACTCATCTTTCTTTAGCCTACTCTCTTCTAACTTGTCCTCACCCTCCTCTTCGCGGCCGCTCCGCTGTTCTCCCTCTCTTGGTTCTCCTCAGCTTGTGGCTGCTCTCATCCCTGGAAAAGCCGGCCCTCTTCCTTATGTGACTTGCTCTGTCGGGCTGTCCGGCTCTCCGTGGCTTCCCAGGAGTTCTCATTACCTCTGGCAGGAGTGGACACCAGGTTTAGGACCAGTAGCTTCAGCGCAGAGCCAGAATGAGCAGGGTGATGCAATCCATGTCAATGAATGCTGGTGAAAATCTGCTCTTCTTTGGATGATTTGAATAAATTAGGAGTGTATTCCTTCCTGAGCACCTGGATTCCTCTTGTGGGAGCTGCACACTCCGAGCTGTCTGCTTTATAGAGAAAAGCGTTTCATCACTCTCAGCAGAGCCGCAGTAATCGGTCCCCCATGAACATTTTTGTCTCTGGTCCGGGTCTAAATGTGGCGCAACACTGCTGCCCTCTTCCCTCTCTCTATCTCCCTCTCTTGCTCTTCTTCTGTTTCTCTCTCTGCTTATTCCTCTGCTGCTCCACCTTTAATCTCAGTACAAACAGAGACCTTTCCTTTCCCTGGACAAACTTGCTCTCCTGCTTCAATCTGCTGTCACAGAAGCCCTACGCTGTGAGTGTGTGTGTTTCTCTCTCAGAGCCCCACAGAATGTGCCCAGATCTTCTGTACGAGGGGTGGTGTGTGTGTGTGTGTGTGTGTGTGTGTGTGTGTGTGTGTGTGTGTGTGTGTGTGTGTGTGTGTGTGTGTGTGTGTGTGTGTGTGTGTGTGAACGAACAAGTGTGTGCGTCAGAGAGCAAGTGTGTGTATAGGCATGTGACTATGCAAGTGTCTGTGTGTGAGTGTGTATTACACACAAGGGGGAACAAGTTTCAGAGTGAGGTCAGAGCTGAGAAAGGGGGCGGGAACTGAGCCAGCATGGTTTCTGCCTGCCCCAAATGTTTTAGCCATTTTAACCCCTTTCTACTTTTTCACACACACCAGCACACACTGAATCCTAATCCCAGGACAGCACTTTCTCTTTAGACAGGACTATTATCCTTACCAGATGGAATGTGTATCCATGTGTGTGTCTGTGTGTGGGACACAGGTATGTTTTGTCTGGGTTATGTAAAGAGATTGATGACAGGATGAGTATGATAGGGTATTATAGTAAGTAGCTCTTGGGACTCAGCCTTCTGAGAACGAAGAACACGTACAAACAAACACACACATACACACGTACCCGTATACAGTATGTACTCACGCACCGGCTTAGGCAAAAGCATGCAAGGTCACCCATGGCCAGGGGCAGTGTATTTTTGAAGACAAGAAATGTGAAAAGTAAATATGAAACCTTAGCTGGTCGACCTTCTGTACGCTTCAAGTGAAAACTTCAACAGGAAATATTTGACAAGAGATCAGCAAATTGAGACAGGGGCTATGAATCTAAAGGCTGTGTACCGGGAGACAGATTAGCTCTGGATTTTTGGACCAGAGAAGAAAAAATTGCAAAATGTCACCAGGACAGGATGTGTGTGTGAGAAGATTGAGTTACTGCAGTGAGAACAGGAGCAGGGAAGGTTTCTGACTGCACAGCAGGTGCTATGGTGTTGCCAAGTCAAAAAAGAAATCCACAGATGAGTGATATCATAACGGGTATTTAAAACTAATTTTTACCTATTGACCTTTAGCTAAAGTCCTCGCCCAAACAGTGACTGTTAAATCATAGCTTTTACAAACATAACTAGAGAGACCTGTCAAGATTTGGAAACGTCCTAATGTAGAATTGGTGTAAATAATGCTGTGAAAAATGGGACATTTAAAGAGTCAAATGGGTTGTTTAGGTTTATTTTTGACATCCCAAATCAAAATGTAAAAAAAATAGGATGATTAAATGCTGTTTATATGAAATATTTGGCATGTGTGGCTAACTTATACCAGCAGATGTAACCTGGTGTTAGTTTCAAAGCCAAGAAACACACCAATAAAACTGGTGTAGGCAATTTAGGAGAACCCAGCAAGAGTAAGCTAGCTTTTGGATATATCCAACCAAAGACTGAATGCACAGTTCCTGACTATAGGCTTATCCTCTCAAATTACCTCCTGTTTTATTCACATTCAAGAAGACACCTATGTTCTAATGAATGTCAACTAGAAAATTGCTTTTTTTAGTACTCACAGCTGTCGATGTCATTGAGTGCAAAGGCAGGCCATCCAATAATTTCATGGGCTTATAACAGGCCCCCTAGTGCCTTTGACTTATTGATTGCTGTTGGGATGCACTGATAGTTTCATCCAGTGGTTTTAAATGAACTTGCCTACCCTAGCTACATTAGCTTGTGGGGTAGCAGGTTACATCAAAAAAGCCCCCTCGAGACGAGACACTGTATCGTATTTCACAGTGTTTCCTTGAGTAACTTGAGTGGATGTCTTTGTCCAATTTGAAGAAGTTCTCACAAGGTGTTCCTGAGATATTGCTACCATGACAATGGTACTGACACACAAACACATAGACAAACGTAGCCAAAATCGTAATGCCTCTTCACTGCAATACAAGAAAAACTCTGTTTCTTAATTAAAATGTCAAATATATTCATAAACAATCAACTAGGGATGATGCATGGGATGCCTTTTGCATGTTAAATGTAGCTTAAGAATGGCAGTAACTCTTATGGTTTGTATTTCCTGTCTGTAGCTATCAAGTTAATATTAAACAGAGAGGATGAAATGTAGCATGTGTACAGTTAAGGCTATTTGTAAGCTAATTAAAGCTGCAACTAGTCAAATACAAGCTTCAAATCATGTAAGGCTTGTAATACTTAGCAACTGAAAGGATTTAGCCAAAAAGCTACATCAACAAAAAATCCCTCTATGTGGGCTGCCTTTTAAGGTGGACCAGCATTTAGTGACATTGCCAATAATTTTGTTTCCCTGGCAGAAACCCTGTTCAAGACCCCTTCAAAAAAGATCGTAATTTAAAATGGGTGAGCACACTGAAAAACTGAAACAATTAAATGTATTATGTCAATAGATTTCCTAACTGTATTAGGTTAGTTTAAAGCATTAATATCAAGTTCAAATAAAAAAATATTAGGTTCAACTTAATATTATTGTTTTCAACTAACCTTATACAGCTATGTGAAATGCTTTGAGACAAAACATTTGATTAAAGTCAACATTTCAGTTTTTTCAGTGCAGGCAACACAACAACCTAGAGATGATGTTTTAAACTAGCTCATGGAGCTAACGTTAGCCACATTAACTTGTTAGCTGCAGCCTCTAAAATGGGCTTGAACATAGAAAATCGATGCCTGCCTCTATCCGAAAGAAGAACCCATTATTCGCAGCTTGAAATCTGAAATAAAATGCATTAAATCCCCTGCAACAACATAAAGCTAGGCAAACACAGCATGTGACCAGAGGAGTGCTTGAATGCTAGCCCGCTAGCTCAAACACACAAAAAACACTTCCATAATTGGACTAGCACTTTAAGCTACCATCTGCACAATGACATGGTTCCGATTAAATTGGTGAATCAATCTATAGGATCACATCATCAACATGGAATTCAGAAATATTTGGCAGAGAATAGACAACAATAGGTGAGAATGGAGAAGAAAATGAAAGAATATACAGCAGAGGCTCAGGTATCTTTAACACAAACCAGGTCCCCTTTCTACAGGTCAGAGAGTTTAGAATACACTACATGATAGGATGATCCTTTACCTACATGCATGGAAAAAGTTGGCTTATGTTTATTTCATATGGTTATATTTTTCAACTTTATATGTGCACTGGTTGCAACAAAGACAGCTGGTCTGTCTAAAACAAAGTTTTTAATATAATCCTATAATATAATACAAAGGTTTAGTGCCTGCGGTATTCAAAGAAAACTTCCATATAAGGTCATATGAAAACGTACATACACAAAAAAGAGCCAATTATAACCATAAACTGTGGAGACCTACAATAGTCATGTAAAAATGCAGATTACTATCCAGTCACATGACAACAGTGAATTAATTGGTACCTTCAACAGGGTAGATTGAGCAGGAATCACTATCAGAGAAATAAACTATTTTAAGAAATATTTTTCCACGGTGCAGTTACTCGTTTTCTTAAGTTTCATGTTCCTTTATTTACCTCGAGATTTGGAGTAAGGATTTTGGACTTGTAAAACTGAAGAATTCATCCCAAGTGCAATGAAAAGTGTCCTAATGCAAAACGGATGAGAGGAATAAAATGAACAGCTGTTTGCTCTTTTGACACATTTTCATGACAGGAAAATTGTTTTCATGTGGAGTCGAAATAATTAAATGCTTAAACAACGTGGTTCAAGAGTCTTATCCTTTATTTTCTAGAGGGAACACGCACGCACGCACACACACACACACACACACACACACACACACACACACACACACACACACACACACACACACACACACACACACACACACACACACACACACACACACACACACACATTGGATGGCAGTGTACCAGAGGATTTCAGAGTTCTATTTATCTGCGTCACCGTGGTGAAAGAGAGAGGATGTTTGAAGAAAGACAGACATTAAATGTTTAGTTTTTCTCAGTATCTTCACATCTCGTCTTTAGACAATCGTACTATAAAACGGCGAACACCGAGGCCGAGGCGATGTGACGAATTAATCTCTAGGGCTCATAAAAAAGCGAGGCATCATATGTTCTGGCTGATCCCTCCATGGTGGGTTTAATGATCCATTATTTGCGAAGGGGGCCTCATGACATCATGTGCTGGCTACATGAAGGCATGGTTAGCATTCCTGGATAACGAGCTGTTTTGAAGGCAATGAGGAGCGCTGTATGTCAAAGTTGATGCCTGTCATTGTTAATTTAGCTCATGTGGGTTAATAAACACTGAATATTCACCGAACCCGCCTGCCTTTGTAAGCAAATGCACTGTGAGTCACTCTGTGTCAACACTTTATTTTGACGTTTATTTTCTCCTTGTGTCTTACGTCCTGTTTTTTCCCTCCTGTGCCTGATTCTCTTTTTGTGTTCACCTGCTAAATGTCGTTAGTTGATTGTTTCTGAGAAATTAATCAAGCTAGATGTAAAAAAGTAGTGTAACATTTTTGCAAAGGTAGAACTTTAGTGACGTTGGATTGTGTTTTAGCTACATACCTACTGTATAGAGGATTTGCTGTGAGCTATTAAAATTACAAGACATTTAACATGTGTAACATTAAAGTGCATAGCAGATGTTAATAATACTTACTAAAATACTGCAACCCGAAACACTCACCGGCATAACTATATAAATGCGCAATCGAGAAAGTAGAAGGGGTTCTGCTACTGACATTGAAATATTATAGGAACCAATCTGGTTATTTGGAAGAACAGTCAGCAACGGTTAAGGACAAGGCTGTATGAAAAGAAAATGCAATGAATGAATGCAATCAGACGACTGATACGGTAAAACATCTTGAATTACTTGAGTACTAGGCATAACGTTTCACTAACACACCAAAAGTGGTGAGCAGTTTAGAAACACCCTCTTATTTCTCAATGCTTCAGATGTCTCACGATAACAAATCAAAAGCAGCCGCCACGCTTACAAGTCCTACACACGTTTCGCTTGATTCTTCTAGCTCCCACAGTAGGCTATATAG